AGCGCCCGGGGGGTGAGCAGGGGCCACCCCCACTCACCTGCGGCAGAGGGAGAAGGAACAGGTGATGAAGGCCCTGGTCAAAAGGAGGTGGCTTCACCCAGCCCTGCTGTCCCCCACCTGCATAGGGGATGCGGACCCAAGGGGCGTGGAAGGTGCTGTTAGTCCAGGACAGCCGCGTTTTTTTCCCAAGGAATGTGGAGGTGGCTAAGGATGGCACAGATGATGCAGACACCAGCAAACGGGAGCAGTATCTGCAAAGCAGCAAGGGTTCTCTTAGAAGGTGAGCCTCCCCTCCTGCCTGCCCTGGCCAGCACCCCATCTGCTGTGCCCCAGACAGCAGGTCCTTGTCCCAAGGAGCCATACCACATCTCCCCTGAGCCCTGCAGGGAGCATTCCGGGCTCTGCTGCTCCAACAACCTCTAGCACGGGTCCCCTGTTCTCCCCCAGCAGGACACACCCTCTGGGAACTGCACCAGAACTTCCCACCCCGGCCTCTGCTCCCAGCACCCAGCTCAGCTCCAGAGCCACTGGGTCCCACCAAACGCCACACCAAAGAGCCAGGCTTGGGGAGAAGCCTGAGCACAGCGAAGGAAGCAGGGGCAGACAAGTCACAGTACCGAGAATGTGCGTAGGGTGGGGACAGGCAGCTTTATGGAGCCCCCCAGAGCCTGGGGCCAGGTGCAGAAGGGCAGGCGACAGGACCCCAGGTGCTGGGAGAAGGTGACAGTGAGGAACACGAGCCTAGGAGAGGAAGCCCAGGTCACTGCACAGCGTCACAGCAATAGGCCCCCAAACTCTTGTGATGTACCACGGGGTTGCCCCATTCCTGCCCCCATGGTGAAAGGAAGCCCCAGGGGGGCTGCACACCGGTGTGTTCCCCAGGCTCACGTACAGCAGCGCTACTCCCCAGTTAGTAGAGCAAAAGAAAGCAGCCTCCTTGTACGTGGACAGCCCAATGACAGAGAGACTGGGAGCCAGGACCATGGGCCCACAGCACTGAGCTGCCCACCCACACACACCAGTCACTCCCAGAAGCAGCTGAACCAGCCCAGAGACCAGCACAGCTCCAGACACCTGTGGGAGGAAAGGATGGGACCCATGAGGCAGGATACACAGAGAGCAGCCCAACACCTTGGCCACGCTCCCACCACCCCAGTAGAATCACTTGTTCCTCACCCCAAGCCTAGGGAAACACGCGCCATGATCCCCATTGCCTTTGCACATCCTCTTGTGTCCCCCCCATTCACGGCAATGCCCCGAAGTGTTGGGAAAGGGACTGTGTGACAGGGATACAGATGATAGTTGGAGTGTCAGTGGAGCAGGAGGACAGGGACCCCCCAGCCCAGCGCAGGAGCACCCACCTCTCGCAGCAGGGCAGCCCGGCTTCCTGCAGCAGCGCAGTGGGGTGCAGGGCACACGCTGTCCACAGCTGTGCCTGGAAGGGAATTTTGGAGGGATCGGATGCATGTGGACACTGGGCTCCTGGGGCCAGCTCCAAAAGTATGCAGCACTGGAGCTGCTGGCTGGAGAAGGGCCAGTATCCTCATCCCCAAAAGCCCTGGCCCTGAGAAGGTGACCAGATGTGTTGTGAGCGCACTCAGGGGTGAGTAGGGTGCTGTGAACTATCACCAGAGGAGCCAGCAGCCAGGATGCTTTGCTACCCCTCAACCGCACCCGATGTGCCACTCAGCTCGTCACTGCCATTTCCCGGACACCAGCATGGCCTGGGCCCCATGGGACACAGGCTCCAGGGCTGTGCTCACCGTTCCGGTCTGTGCTGGCACCAAGGGACAGATGGGAGCTCAGCACCATGGCAGGGACCAGGTATTCAAAGGACGGGATTTGAGCCAGTGGCAGCCTGGAGAAAGGGAGAGTGAGGACATGTTAGGGAGGAAAGAGGGGACAGGGGTGCTCCCAAAGCCCTGGCTACCAGAGGAGTGAGGGATGGGAAAGAAATGAAAACCCCAAAGTGGCAGGATATCTCCCCATGTCCCAAATGAGTCTAAGCACATCCTAAGTGGCAGCACACGGGATATACGCAGAGGTCAAAGCACACACCCAGCCCCTGCATGGGGTGTGGGCAGCAGAGACACCAGGTGGTCTGGAGCCGCTTGTTACGTTGGAGCCAGGCCACAT